CTATGCAGCAAAGATCAAGAGCAGCCCTGAGGCAGAGAAGTACTATGCTGAAACTGTAACTAAGTTGAATGATGTTCTGTCCAAGCTTGGCTAGAAATAACATAACAAAGTTTTTATGCATTTATGTATGATAATAATATATGCAAGCTTTGCTTTATTTATTTTTTTGTTGTGAATGGAGATCATTTTCCCTCTTAATTGAGCTCAAAAGTGAAATTTAATTTAGCAATAGCTAACCATATATTGTCACTAAACTTGTTAATAATCACTCAATTAGTGCTTCATCAACAATTAATGAATAAAGGCTGTATAGTTATTTATTTATGCTCTATCTGCAAAGTAGAAGTCATGATGGTCATAACTCATATATTAGTTGTTTAGCTTCATTCTTCAATTTGAGAGCATACATTTAAGGCCACAAATATCTCTATGTGTATAAAAGGATGGGAGATGCTAACAGTCCTGTTACGGAATCATTCCGTCGGAATTTGTAACCATTAGATCAACTATTTCCAACGGTTACACGATATAATTGTACAACCTTTGATGAATTTTAATTTCAATCGCGATTTTTTATTTTTGCAAATTATACCATAATTTTTATTTATTTGCATTTTATACCATGATGTAAATTACAACACTTATTTAATCACAATTATATTTAGGGTTGGGCACGGTTCGGATACTCGAGTTTTTTGAGGTATTTGCTAACCGAACCGAACCGAGCAAATATTCGAACTTGTTAACCGAAACTGAACCGAAAATCTCGGTTAACCGAAAAAAATCTTACTATTCGCGAATTAACCGAATCGAACTGAACCGAGCAAACCGAACACAAATTTGGTGAGGAAGACCGTGAGGAAGACACTAATGAATTTTCAAGTCTGGAGCGATTAGCTAGGTTAGAATTTGGGTGAGTGACTGAGTGTTGATTAGGTATTTACTATTTAGGTTAGTTTAATATATATAAATATAATATATAATATATAATATAATATATATTTTATAAATTTTAATATAATATATGGTTCGGTTCGGTTCGGTTAACCGGGATAAAAAAATCCTAAAAATTGTAACCGAACCGAACCGAGCAAATACTTCCTTTGAGGTATTTGTAACCGAACCGAGTACCCCGATTAACTGAAAATTTGGTTCGATTTCGATTCGGATCTACGATTCAGCGGTTCAGTTCGAATTTTTTGCCCAGTCCTAGCTACAAGTAAATAGTATAAATGTACACAGAGATGTACATAGCATAAATATAAAGTGATGTTCACTTGATTTTTTAATTTTAGTAGGAACCACTTAATATGAGTGTTATGCATAGTTTTTCAACTCAGACCGGCCCGACGGGTTGATCTGGAGTTAGAACCAGTCCGAGTGAGCTAATCGGACTGAACAACAAAGGACCTAGTCAAACCCTGTCAAACTCGGTCGACCCGGGCCATTGACCCGACCTCTATAAATATTATTTTAATTTTTGTTTTATTTATTTTATTTTTTTATTTTGTTATTAACATTTTTAAAAAACATTAAGGTACATATTTTATATACAAAACATTTAATTTTCTTGCTTTTATGTATATTTATATGACAAAATATACTATATATAATTAAAAAAATTAAAAATTAATTATTTGGTTGAGCAATTGACCCGGTAACCCAGAGGTTGAAACAGTGTCCCAGAGACCTACTCGGCTGATTCTCGGGCCGGGTTTAAAAATTATGGTGGCATGTAGTATAGTATTATGTACTTAATTATAACATTCCTCTTCGGACATACCTCACAATTTCTATTCGTTAACATTATGGCACGTGTCATTTTACTTTCTTAAACATTTTTTTCCAAAAATTATTAAATAAACGACTAAAAAAATCATACTAAAAAATTGATGGAATTTTTTTTTATATGGTACCCAACTTTATTTTATTTACACTTGTGGCACCCAAAATTTTTACTTAAACAGATCTTGTACCCGCCCGAAAAAGATGACATAAAATTAAGTAAAAAAATATGAAAAATTTTGCAAAAAAAAACATAATTTCAAATTGAAGGCTCATATAAGTTTAAAACAACGAATTAATTAAGAATTATTGTTGCTAATTAAAAGACAAACAAAATGAGAGTTCACATATCAAATTCGAACAGTCGAATTGTCGGAAATCGTCGGTTGAAATATTCGTCCCGCAACTGCGCACCGCTGGAAATATGGAAACTTCACTTACATTTTATGGTTATTCAAAGGTCTGACCGAAGATTGGGAGATACCGCTGGATTTCCTATGAAAAGAGATTCTATACATATCAATTTCACAAAAAATAAACAATGAGATCTCTGATGACATTCCATAACAATAATTTTTTTTTTCAAAACTTTACTAATGATTTAACAAAGTTGATGTATCGTATGATGAAATTAAACACGACGTTGGATAAATCGAATCAAGAGCTTTACAATAATATGATTTTCTATAAATCACTATTGTTAGACGAACAACAAATGACGACTAATGGTGGTGGCCGACAGCGACAAGTGACGGCGAAATGGTCGAATATTAAATTTTAGTAGGCTTTTAATTTAATTATCCTATTTTTAGATATTTTTATTGTATACATGATCTAGACATTAAATATAATATAACTTTTTTTTTTATTAAACAACATAAATTATAATTTAAATCAAAGTAAGGGTATAATAGATATTATGCATGTACGAGATGTACAAGATAATGTACAGTCAACATACTTACTTGACTCGTGCATTCAATGCAAGATTGAAGTTAAAGTTTCTTTATCAACCTCAGATTTAATGAATGATGATCCAATTGGCCGACAGGCGACCGCAGAAGGGAAATTTTGACCTATCGTCGGACGAGTCCAAAAATTTGAACAAGAAAGTGAAATTTCATGCAGTTGAGGAGGACAACCGGTCGAGAGGGTCGAACTAAAGGGAGAGGCGCAGGAGCGAGAGACCAAAATTGATCCTGCCAACCTTTAACAGAATGGACCCAACTTCGTGGCTGAGCAACGCCAACTAGTCAACGAAATTCTGAGTCAAAAAGCGTCATATTCATTGCCAACTATCTCGATGGAGAGGCAAAAGTTTGGTGGCAGTGGTTATAGAGTGTTTACAAGAGAAAGGACACCAAAATACGATGGAAAAATTTCGAAAGAGAATTAATTACACGGTTTGGGTCGTTGGATTACCATGATTACGATGAAGCCGTATCACATATTAAGCAAACCCATTTTTTTTTTACATGATTACAATGAATCCCTTTGTGCCTCATAACATATTTAAGTTTTTACATTACTGTTGGAGTAGAAGAAATTGACCAATACTGTTGTAGTTCAATAAAAAGTAGCTCTATTATAGACTTATAGTACATTAGTTAATTACTTAATTTTTGTTTTACGTTATGCTCGCCATTATAACTCAAGTTGTTCAATGTTCCTGATGCAGACAAGGGTCAACACCTCAAGAATGCGCATATAACCGAGCTCGACGAGCTCGTATCAAAGTAGCAAGGCATGCAACAGTAGTAGGGGAGATTTGCATATTATTATTTCACACGATTGTTTTTTTCAAATTATTATTAGTTAGGACATTTTAGAATTTTAATTGTTTGTACTTTTCTCCTTATAAGTTGTAATGGTCGGTTGACAAAACTTAAGAAATAAGAAAACTTATTTTGCTAGGTATCTACCAATCTCGTGTTTAACCGACGACTGTCAATTAGTGTTATTATAATCTTTAGTGTCGATACACGATCATCATCGTTGGTGATCTCATTGACAGAACTGATCGTGTATCATTATATTGAACATGGAGTGGATTGATCGAATGGAGGAGAGTGTGTGTTCCATCAACGAAGACGTATAATCCATGAACCACGCCGTGGCGCGGATCAAACAAATGATGATCCAACTAACTGTCAGACGAGCGCGAAAGTGAAATTCCGACTCATCGTCAAACAAGTCCATAGATTCGAACAAGGAAGCAAAATTTTGAAACAAATTTGTGGTTGACAAGGACAACCGGTCTAGAGGGTTGAACCTGTTAGTGTATACTGTAAAATCTCGGCTTTCAGTATCTGATAATACCATTTTGAATATGATTCATATTTTAGTCAAGTGTATATTTGCAATTTATTTATTTATTTATGCGAACAAAGTTGTTTTACTTTACATTATAGATAATATGCTTCGACGTGGCAAACAGAAAGATCATATTATCAATGCCTTGTAAAATATAAATATTTATTCACAATCCAAATAGAATTAAACTAACCGTCGTGAAAGACTGTAGTGTGATTTTGAACTAGTTGGTCTTTAACTAATGAATTACACTTTTACATCTCGGATGTATTGGACAAACCTACGGAGGATAAGTCAAGTAAATTCTAGACCTCAATAATTTTTTAGTTTTCTTAACCTTTAAGACAAATAACGAGCATATGTATTCGACACTTATTTGTTTGATTTACCATGAGTGAGACTTATTTCAGTAAGTCGACAAGCTCCGTAGTTTGGTAATAATGTCGAGTGCATGATGTGCCGTAGAAAATATTTACAGTCATCGTGTTCTGGTCCGTCGGGTTAATGACGTCTCTAAAATGATCTCATAAAGAATTATTATGTTAAGTCATGCATGTAGATTAATTTTCAGACATAATAATAGAGAACTAAGGATTATTATTTAAACCCACATTATTCAGTTGTGTGTGGAGTGGGCCAAACCCACAATTGGATCCACAATTGGGGAGCCAATTTTTAGCACCTTCTTAGGGTCTCTATTGTAACTTATAAATACACCAACTCTCGAATTAGAAATAGAACTTGGAAGAAGATTAGCTAGAATTAAGTATCAGCTCTAGTTGTGCTCCACATAGTATCGTAAATTGCCGAGAAATATAATCTGAAGGGCAAGTGTATCTGGTTTAAGCA